TAAGGCTATTAGGTGAAACATAAAGCATTGTATGCACCACAGGCGTTACGGAGATAATAATGCCCATCAGGCCGAAACCTATCCCTCGGGCCAAAAGCCCTCGGGCTAGTTCGGCCCTCAGGGCATTATAAGGTCCGTAACGCCCTTGGTACATAAATAGCTATTTTGCCCTCGATATTTCCCTGGAATGTTTATGTGTAGATAAGAGTTTGTTGTAAGGCAAATAATCCATATATAGAAAGTTTTCTTGTGTGTTTATGTTGGACATATTTATTTGCAGAGAAGCGCCCGCCGAAACCAAACATGGCTCCGAAGAAGTCCTCAAAACCGAATGCCTACATAGTATTTGCTCAAGATCTGATGAATAGGCAAGGTGGTCGCAAATATAATTCATTAAAGGAAGCATGTGACGTTGCAGGTCCTATTTGGGCGGTAAAACTTTCCTTCGACTTTCTTAAATATTCTTTATGCCAGTTTCCGTTTCCATTTACAGAGAATGTCCCGAGAAGAGAAGGAGCCCTATGAAGTCAGGGCGAACATAATGAGGGGCGACACTCATCGAAGAAAACTTACCACTGAAGGTGTGGATGTTGAAGCTTTCACCTCTCAGGAGCAAGAGAAAATCAATGCCGAAGAATCGGCTCGGGAACAGATGAGAGCCACTATCCAAATAGCACAAAAAGACAAAGGTTTGCCTGATTGTCTCCAGAATTTCCAGCAACTGATTAGCACAAATATTTCCAGTATTGGATAGGGAAGTTTTCCTGTTGGTACACTTTAATATGTTCTGCTATCAAGCCTCAACGGACCGCTACTGGCCGGCGGAAGTAGCCGTTTTAGCATTCAATCTCAGAGATGGTGTTTTAAGTGAACATATTTTTCACTCTATTATCAAACCAGGTAACATTCACTTGAGCTTGATGGGTGGATGAATTCTAAGTCAATTTTCCTTGCCAGGGCCGCTTCCTATCGGTTACAAGTCCGACGCCAAGTTGCATTCCGATCAAACTCATCTATTAGAAGTGCCGTTTGACCGAGAATCCAACGCTCATGTACTGTATGAGAGTTTGAAAGAGTTTATGCAGGTAACAATTTTCTTGCCACATCTAGACCAAACAAAGCGCAACCGTGACACGCTCGCGATTTACAGTAGCGAGCCTGTAATTTGCACTAAACAGTATTTGCTTTAAAATCTAATTGAAATATAAAAAAAAATCAACTATTTGTTGCAGAGACATAAAAAGGCCGGAGCAAAGGGCTTGCCTGCGCTGTACGCAGATATAAAGCACGTGAAAATGATTCAAAACATTTTGGATCGTTGGTCTTTAGAGTACGATTATGAAACTGATCTGTTTAAGGTGATAAATTTGCAGGTAAGTAAACTTAACAAACCGAGACGATTTGAAACTGATCCCAGGTAATTTGCAGGCTATGTTCCATGTGCTGAGAAATACAGTTGCAGGTGAAGAAGTTTGGCATACGCCAGCATTCAGCGAGCGCGAATTGGAGAAGGACGTCTTCTCGTATTCTCCAGAAATTGCCTGTCCAGTAAGTTGAGCCAGTCGTGCGAATTCTGAGCGATTAATGCGCGGTTTTCCAGTTCCATGCATGCACGCCCAGGACGCTTTATTGCAGCCAATCGATAGTGATAAGATATGCTTTTATTATTTGCGACAATTGCTGCTCTGATCTGCACATTGATCTTGTTAGTGGCCAGCACGTGCCTCTGGAATCTTTGGCTAGCAAAGCGACGAGCGCGGCCAGTAGCATGAGCGGTTTTACCGTTCAGTCCAGCAAGAGGAAAAATCCTGTAAGTACACCGCTCCAACCGATTTCAACCGTTTCTACCAATGTTCCCCAATTTAGAACCAATACTCAGAAATTAGTGATTTTAACTCCTCCAGTAACGCGTGGGAAGTTGCGTCTTGCACCAGTAATTACTCAATTTCCACAGTGGTTTCTCAATCAGAGGATGATTTTCCGGAATTGGGCGGTTTCAAGAAGAAGGATGTAAGTTAATTTTCAGTTCTAATTTAATCGGTGGAAATAATTGCCTTATTCTTTCCAGCCCTCATCGAAGCTCCCGCCTTTGGGTTGGGTGAAGAATACCCAGACTTTTACTGGTGGTAAGTTAACAAAATTTATTTTTACTGAAATGCGCTTGGTTTTGTTGGTCGTTGTCGTTCCCTATCAGGTCCTCACTTTCTCTTGTTCCCTATTTTCCATGTTCCCCACTTTGTATAATTAACATTGATAGAAACCCAAACTGTTTTTAGCGGGATCCGGTCTTAATGAACGACTGAAAAATCTATCGCTTGCCTCGGAAAACAGTGGTAAGTGTAGGTAGATGATGAAAGTGACGTTCAGTTTATTGTTTTTCGTAATTTTTTAAGGCCCGTCTCCAGGCTTGAGTAGTTCAGATTTTCCGGCAATGTCGGTTGGTCGCGGTCGCCGACCTAAACCTAAGTCACAATAAAGTGTTAAAATGTGTTAAAACTGACGACCCAAATCAGCGATTTAGAATACAGAATGTTATTTTTTTCTATTTGGAATCTATATTTTAACGTTTCACTCGTTGTGAGTGTTGTTATTTGTGTTTTTAATCACATAATATTTAACAAAAAATATTGCAGCAATATAATTAATTTGCATCTAAAGTATAGGTTTTTTTCTGTTTCTGAATTAACAAATCGTGTATTTTGTAAAGGGTGTAGTTTCACTTGTAAGGAATTGCACACTTTAATACACGATTTGTTCATTCATTTTATCAAGTGTGTACATACTATTTCCTTTTTTCCTTTCTAAGAACCTCCTCGGGCGCAATTAGTTGATGAATACGCGAAATTTGGCTCAAGTAGGGTTTTTTGCCCATAAATATTAGCAAAGTAGGGTTTTTTGCCCATAGATATTTGGAGACGGAGAGTTTTGTTGATTGAGTCCTGTTGTGGAGGAAAATTCTTTGATTGAATTTTAAACCGTTATTTAAAACCTGGCGGTTTAAACTCGATTTTTTTTCGTTTCGAAATGTTCTGATGAAAGAAAGATGGTTGATACAAATTGAATGCACCCCGTGGTACAACGAGGAATTTCTTTGGCTCTCTCGCCGTGATCGAGAGTGAGAGCAACATATGCAAACATATATAAATGTGTGGCCCTGTCGCTCTTTTCCGATTTACGAGGGCAGATTCCTAAGTGATGTAGCTTTCAATCCAAATCCGTTTTATTTGAATTATTACCTTAATGAAAAGAGGATGAAAATTATGTTTCGATCGTTTCATCCGCCATCAAGTACACATCTCTTTATTCTGCACACAACTAGAGGGTGTTTTTTGATAGTTTCGTCGACAAACTGATGGAAATTTATCTGAATAAGCCCTGGATTTTTGAGTAAGCTAAAAGTGTGAAACACTCATCAGTTTTCTTTGAATCGTTTAAATTTTTCCTGAAACTGCGTTCTCGAAATATACAGAATACATGCTTTTAGTAGCGATTTGTTTTGAACTACGATCGATGATTTCCCGCTAAATAAACCGTCAATAGATCAATCATTTTACACGATCCTCGAATATTTTTGAATCTGCACTTGACGGAATGCGTAGAAGTAGGGTTTTCTTGCGACAGTGATATCGAAAAGTCCACGGCCGATGCAACCATAGTCACATAGTAGGCCCAACCGCCGAAATTGCGTGGTGAGCAAGGCTGACCGTGCAGGCCTAAAAGGTACATTTAGGCGGTTATGCACCGATATCCTCCACCAATGTGTACACACCATTTTCGTTTTTTCTGTAAAATAACCTCGAGAGTAATTATTTGATGAAATACCCAAATTAGTTACTTTTTTACAGCAATATATTTGGGGCCGTTTCTGAGTCCGCAGTGTTTTGAGTTTCAAAGAAAAGAAATTACAATAAACAATTTAATAACAGTTTACAGGTTTATTCGCATATTAAGTACAGTTTCCAATATTGTAAAGACGAACGAGTTTGCACACTGTTTGCCTGAAGTTCTGGACGCTTTCGTCTTGAAGTTGTTGGTCAAATGCCTGAAAAAAAAACCCCGTTCATTTGCTTAATGTTCAGCTTTGAGCCACTTGCCTCGTTATAGACGATTGTTGGGACGAATTTTGGCCGAACTGCGCTGGTATCGGCTTCAGCTTGCAGCTGCAAGTCAGTTCCTTCTCTTGTTTGGTAGCATTTACTCATCATTTCCTCAAAGTCCACGTTAACCAACCGGGCGCACTGAACGGTTTATTTTTTAAAAACTCATACAAAGCTCTCAAGCGAAAATTTTACCTTTTGCCCATTTTCATTTGCACCGAATATTGCAAATTTATATTCATCCATAAAGCATCTTAGGTATTCAACCTGCAAGTCTTGGCTGGGTATTCTGGTTAAGGCGCACGACATAATGCGGTTGCCTTTACATTCTTGGGAGCCGTGTTGGCAAGTGAATTTTTGCCCATTTTCTTTACTCTGGAAAAATCGATTTTGCCACATTTGCTCAACGGACATCTAGAACTTACGGCGCTTTTTCCAAATGGGATAAACCGGATATTCACGTAGTCCTTGATGGTGTTCCAGGTCGGGTATAGTTGATTAATGAGGAAATTTTGGCTGTCCGGGCAAAGGGATTCAAAGTAGAGAGCCACATTTATCTGCAAACATTTTTTCCTGGCAAAATATCAGAGAATTTAAATAAATTACCTTGTTTGGGCGTTCGTACGCTCTTTGTCCATTAGTTAGTATTACTAAGACGCTAAAACTTAGTACTAATCGGTTCACGTTCCACATATTCGTTATTACTAATGTCGCAGATTTAAATCTAGTTTCGGAAATATTCCTTTTATCGACAATCCCGCCTTGAAATGGGTTTTTTCTTTCAACGAGGTCTCGTCTATTGGAGTCTATCTGGTTCCAAATTGATTATTAATATCTTTTCAACACCCGGTATCTTTTCTTGGTTGCTATCGAGTGCTGTGAAGCTCTAAGGTTGTTGATTGTGACCAAAGATTCCAGTAAAGTTTTATTTTTGTGGGCATCATAAATTCAACCTTCTACCAATCGACGCTCGACGGTTGTACAACACTTTCACCTATTATGATAAATGCATATGAATACGCACCAACCAGCACGGTTTCAGCCAATTGCATCATTTTTTTGCGATAAAACACGCATATAAATGTTTAATAGTCATTTTGGGTTTTGGCAGTTTGTGGAGTTTTTAGCGATTTTTTCCCCTACTTAATTATATTACTCTTTTCTCAAATGGAAAATTGTTTTCAAGTTTTTACGTTTCATATTTTTCTAGTGAAACAACTGGTTTCAGAGAAAGTTAGTCGAGAGAAGCTTTAAATAATTAGTGCAAGAGTTTTTCTTGATTTTTGTTTGCAAGTTTGGTCTATTGAAAACCAACAGATTTGTTGCCTGTGGAACCAAACTGCTTAAAAAATAGGTTTTTCTTAAAATTAGCATTCTTAATTTGTTTAATTTTTAAGGAAAAACTGGCATTAAGGCGAATTTTTCTATGAAATAACAGTGTATTCTCATAAGGTTTGTTATTATAATTAGCATCACTGAACATTTTCCACGGGAATTGGGAACATTCGGTTTCCTAATTGAATTAATTTACGTTCTAACTAATAGTCTACTTAATAATTAAAAATGCTTTAGACTATTCAGTTCGATTAACAAATCACCACGTTGGTTTGCCTGATTATTAATTATCGATGTCTAGAGCATTTTTTGTTTCAATTTTTAATTCTGTCGATATCTGGCGGTATCTTGGGAGTGCTCTGAGCGACAACATGACTAGAAGGGTTAAAACAGTGTAAGAAGCAGAAGTGAGTTTTTTTTGACATAATCAGCTTAGTTCGTACCACTAATTAACATTTAAAGCTCGAAAGTCGATAACAAAATGAGAATTTATTGCTACATATCCATAAATAAACTGAGTATAATATAATCAAACGTTTGCTGGCTTGATCCGATGAGTAACTTGTTAGATTTTAGTCTCCTTAGAAAAATCGTTTTATGAAAAATATCTTATTTATTCAAAAATACTCAAATCCTAGCTCGTAAGATTTATTATACTGTTCACCTAATTAAACCGCTGTCGTTTACTCACTAATAAAACTTGCTTCGGATTTTTAATCTTCAGTGGGAAAACCTAATCATTAAAAATATCCAATATTTATGCCTCTACCTACTACAGGTACTTATTGAGGAATACTTATTTAAAACACATCATTTGACTATTCGATATGATCACATTGATATTATTTGCCCTTAGTATAAGGGGAGCTCGCATTCGAGCTCCGGAAATCCTTCTAGATCAAACTGCAGGCGTTGTTTTGGAGCTTGTGCTTGTTCGAAGAGCTGAATCCCGAGCAACATTGTTGCCTGTGCGATTTGCTGAAGTTCGGTTGGCTTTTGCTGCTGGAAAGACAACTTCTCATCTAAAACCATTAAATTTACCATAGTTTGCCCTTCGGAATATCGAAAAATTCCCTTACAAGATTATCTGAGTTTGTGATATCGCCATCACTTTTCGATTCCGGGATCTCTTTGTGATTGCTATGTTTTCCCAGGTTCTTGGCATATTTGTACATTGCGCGGCCGAATTCCGGTGTATGAACTGGACTGCAAATCTCCTGAAAAAACCTTTACTTTTCCACTCGATTTCCAGATGGAGATTTTCGGAAACTTACAGCTTGTCGCGGCTCGATTTCAATGGGAACATCGACGATTTCCACTTTTTTTGTTGGCGCGTCCAGGTGATTTGGTTCCTTTCTTTTCACCAGAATTCCTGAAGTTGGTAGGCTGGGCGAGTCGGTTGAACTACTACTACTACTACTGGGCATGAATTCTATAGACTTTCTTTTTCTGGAATATACACGAAGGTTTGTTTAGTGAATTAATTAAAACAAGTGAAAGTTCGTTGAGACAAAAAGTTTCCATGTTGTTTGTGTAATTGACATTTCTGTTAATTTGTTTATTTTATTTAACCTGACGGTATAAAATTGAGTTTTTTCCGTTCGAAATGTTCTAACAAAGGCGGTTGATCCAGATTGAATGCACCTCGTAGTACAACAAGCAATTTTGTTGGAGCTCCCGCCCTGATCAAGAGTGAGAACAACATATCGGAAATCTGTGGCCTTGTCGCTCATTTCCGAATTACGAGGGCGGATTCCTAAGCGCTGCAGCTTTCAATCGGAATCCGTTTTATTCGAATTGTTTTAGGAAAGAAAAAAGGGGGGAATTACGTTTCGAACGTTCCATCCGTTATCAAGTACTGGCGTGTTTATTCAGCACTAGAGGGTGTTTTTTGATAGTTTTGTCGATAAACTAATAGAAATTAGCTGAATGAACCCCGGATTTTTGGGAAATCTAAAAGCGCGAGAAACTCATCAGTTTCCTTTGAATTGTTTCATTTTTTCCCGAAACTGCGTTTTCGAAATATACAGAATACATTTTTTGAACTATTGATGATTTCCTGGTAAATAAGCCGTCATTATTCGATCAATCTTTTTATACGACTTCCGAATGGTTTTGAATCTACGTCTGAATAATCTGCACTTAATAGAATGCGTGGAAATAGGTTTTTCTTGCGATCTCGACATCGAAAAGTCCATGGCCGATGCAACCATAGTCGCATAGTAGGCGCAAACGTCGGAATTGCGTGGTGAGCAATGCTGAGCGGGCAGGCCTATAAGACACATTTAGGCCGTTGTACAATAACATACTCGGTAAGGTTGAGGAAAATTTGTTGGATCATTAGAAGTATTTCTGTTCTCAATCTGGAAAAAGGTTCAAAACTTATGAGGGAAAAGCGATTTTTTTTTAAATTTCAACGCCTTCAATCTCCGAAACGATGTGGTTTACGAAAACCGGATTAACCGTGTATATAAAAAAAAATTGATCATATTTGGGGCCATTTGAATATTTTCCAATAGAAGATGCAAAATCACAAATTCGATAGTAAATCTTCAAGTTGAAATTTCAAAGCTTAAACCCGGCAGAATCTCAATTACCTGTCCTCAAAATGAATGCTCACAGTTGAGCCGGAGTGGCAAACAGTCCGAACTGGGGAGCTATTGGGGGAGCTCTCCAAACTAGTCCTCAGACTCTCCTCCCTGTTGGCTCGCTCGATCTTCTCCAGCTCCTTTTGGCTGATTGGCGGCCCGAAGTAGTTGGCAGGATCCCAAAGCGACGTTGTCGCCCCCTCTGAGTTGGACCGAGTGCCTAAACAACAACCACTCAACTCATCTTCACTTCCATTGCTTTGCACTTCTACCTCGATTGCTTATTGCCGTTTTAACCGGGGAGCTGGCAATGCTTCTTCTGGCCACGTCTTGGAAAGTTATCGGGGAATAAACCACTGTTCTTGCGCCCAAGTCTTTCAAGCTGCCCGGGGTGGAAGTGGTGCTGTTGACTGCACGCACCACTTCCTTGGAAGTTGACATGGTGGTCAGGTGGGTTCTTGGAACGGGAGTTCTGCACTCCCTGCCCTGAAGCCAGTAGGTCTTCATTGTGCCTGCAACTTTCCAGGTGTTGGGGTGGTTGCAATTTTTCGAAGAGTTTGCTCAACCTTTTCCTTTGATCTGAATTTCGCCTCTTTCCTGCACTTTATAGGAGGGCGGCAGACAGTCCCTCGTGTACTCGGAGATGTGGATCTTCATTGCTTCACTCGAAGACTCCATTCGGGATGCTGTGTTTACACTGTCGCCAAAAAGGCAATATCTGGGCATTTTGAGGCCCACAATTCCAGCTACCACAGCTCCTGAGTGGACGCCTACACGAATCCGAAGATGCTGGCCTTTGAAAAAGCACCAATTTCTCACACTATTCAATTCGTTCAAGTTTCGCCTGCTACCTACCAGTGGAGGGATCCTTGAGGTCAGTTATCGCTTCCACCATGTCTAAGGCCATGTCGCACACTCTCTCCGCATGGTTTCCCTCTTTGGCTGGAGCTCCACTCACTACCATATAAGCATCGCCGATGGTTTCAACCTGCGTCCCGCAGCGTGTAAAGAGTGATTGTGGTTGAGTGACCAGTAAGAGTATGTGATTTTTTTGATTTCAATGTTTAGATTGTCGTCTGGAATGATCAAACACTCACTTTGTAAACCCGGTTTCGTTCAGTGAGTCGGTCAAATATCGAATACATGCCGTTTAGCATTGAAACCACCTCCATTGGGGTGATGCGGCTGCAGATCTCCGTAAAGGTCACCACGTCTGAGAATAGGATGGAAACACTGTCGAACATCTACAAAGGAAAAGAAATGAGTTTATTCGGGCTTCCGTTGTGTTTCTAAAGTGTTTTTCTTGCAACGTTTGTTAGCAAATCGAATCATTACCTAAAGTTCCGTAAGGGTTCCAAAATCATTAACGGCTGAGACGGCTTGTGATGGTAGATTAATTTGTGCGGATTATTGCCTGACACTAACCGTTGTATAATACCGCAAAGCAGTTGGTGGGAGCTCCACAACCAGTACGTAAAAACGAACTGCTAGGTTTCAGCAGGCAAAAAATAAGGAGGATAGTGGCCTTTTTAACAGGACACGCCCCCTGCAAA